ATATTGGTCTTGAAATGTTCGAATTCACGTGTCCACATGATTATGCTTGCATTAGTCACGCGCGCACAAGAACCTTGAGACTAGTCTCACGGGATGTGAGAGGTTGATCGGATGAGTTGAGATAGGGAGACTTAGCTTATGAGTGGCACAGTAATGCACAGTTACGATGCGTTCCGTGATGAGTCCGAACTAACGCTCTGAGGTGAGAAATTTCAGAATTGCTATCATAAGCGCAGCACAAGGAGAAAACAGTAGAGGCATAATGCGTGGGCGCCAAGATAGGTCCGCACAACCTATTACACGACATTCGAAACTACACATACAACCAGTACTGATATCTGACCCCAGCTCAGGGTAGTGAGTCATCATCTATAGTTGAACGCTCGAACACGATAGGCCGTTAGATTGATCCCAAGAAAGGAGGTTGATAAGAATTGATAAGGATACTCACGACCTGTCAAAGGCGCTATGACAGGGAGGTAAGTGGCGACCACCGGCGAACAAATAATTCATAGCTGGAAGGCGGTGCTTGGGGGGGGGGCTTGAGACCTGATCAGGAGAGCTTCGGTTTTTCGCGACTGCCTCGTTCAATCCGGCAACTTTGGACATCAGAGCAGCGTAGATGGCGAGCGCTACACCACAAGCTGTGCTGCACGACTTGTGCGCGCCATCTTGTGGGCTTTCCTATGCGGTTCTCCCGACGAAATTTTCCAGTCACTCGAATGGACTTGCTGACTGCTCCGCGCGACAGCTTTGGAGAGTCTTCGTTTCACGGGAGTCACTATAGTCTCCGATGGGGTTCACACAGGTTCTTTCCCGCATGCGGACTGCCTGGTGCTTATCCCATTTGCTCTGCCTCACTTTCGCCGGTTCAATCGGCCCTCTATTCCCAACTAGAAAGGTTCATAGTGGTTTAGAGTCCTACAAGTACATTCCCTCGGCGTGGGGGAGAAAAGAGATCCCATCTTGTTGGAGCCATCAATGTCCTCATTCGGCCAACTTCACATGGGATTTTTACTGGGATCAAATTTTGAAACTTGGAGTGAGGAACTTGGTCCTCGGTGGCTGCAAATTCTACGTTCCTGGTAAACTAAGGTGCTGGAGGCCCAGCAAACTTGCTGCTCTGAAGGAGCGTGTGGCATCTCGAGGCGGCAAATTCTGGTCGATCTAGACTTCGACGGTCATTCATCTATTCAACGAGACTCTTATCGTGAACACCATCCATAAGCTCAGTAAGTACTACTC